TCGATGATAACACAAATCAACGTAACTCTCCGTTAATGTTGTCTTATACCTACGCGCTGCGAATATTTGGCCCTGTAATCGGTTATGGGTTTTCGTACATTATATTAAAGCGATTTTATATTGCTCCCACGCTAACACCATTAATTTCAAAAGACGATCAACGCTGGATGGGTGCTTGGTGGGTTGGTTGGCTATTGATTGGTGTATTGATGTTTATTTTCTCTGGCGTAATTGGTTTATTTCCAAAAAGTCTGAAGAAAGCAAAAACGGTGGAAAAACATGAAATGGACGAAGAAGTATGTAACAAGAAATCAGAGTCAGAAGAAAAAAACGAACCGACCGAAAATGGCGAGTTGAAAGGTATGAAAAGAGATCTCATGAATTTAAAACAAAATAGATAAATCAAAATTCAATGAGTTCCATTTCTACTTAATTAGATTTCCCAAAAGCGATATGGCGACTATTAACCAATAAATTGCTGATGTTGAACTGTTTTTCTATTTCCTTTGCAATGCTTAAACTTTCTGGTACCATGACATTCATGGGCCGAATAATGGAAGTTCAATTCAATAAAACGTCAGCTGGTGGAAGTGCGTTCACGGGACCAATCAACATGATTGGAATGGCCAGTGGCTTATTGCTTTGCGGTTATGTTATTAAAAAATATCAACCAGCACCAAAGTACTTATTCGGTTGGAAATGCTTTGTTGGTTTTATTGCAGTGCTTTGTACATTATCATATACGCAACTGGGATGTGACAACAGTCAATCATTGACAATCAATCAATCGATGGTTTCATGTAATGCAAACTGTGCTTGTGAAGGAATTTCATACACGCCCATGTGTGATCATTCAACAAGTACAACCTATTTTTCACCATGTCATGCTGGATGCATAACATTTGATAAAAAGCAAAACATCTATACAAATTGCTCTTGTACCGAGGGTCCATCAAATGAATTTCAAGTGGAGCACCGGGTTTCGTCTGGTGCATGCGTTGGAGATTGCAATTTTGACTACTATGCATACACATTCATTTCAATGGCCAGTGGATTCCTTATGATCAGCAGTATGATGTCAGCCACTTTGATTAATTTGCGGTAAACTATTCCACTCTCCTTTTACTTCAGAGATCAATTTCCAAATTAAACAATTTTTTGATACTTTTCAGATCTGTTGAGCCGAGAGATAAGGCATTTGGTCAAGGCTTTGTATTATTCTCAGTTAGTTTATTTGGTTTGATACCGGGACCCATCATTTTTGGCCATATCGTAGATAGCACTTGTTTGATTTGGAATCATAAGTGTGGACGACAAGGAAATTGCTTGTTGTATGATTCAGCTAAATTTCGATACTATCTTCATTCCACTGCGGCATTATTTTATGCAATATGCGTTTGTTTTGATTTCTTGATTTGGTACTACGGTAGAGGTTTGGATTTATATGGCATTACAGTGGATGATAAAGAAAATGAGGCGAACGAGAATGAATTGGCCGAAATCGAGCCACTTAACACAAATAAGTAAAATTTCATTGAAGCGTAATAATAAAAATTACTTGAACATTAAATTGCTATCTTTCAATTTCGTAAAAGTTCATCGGCATTACCCATTTGAAGGCATTATCACTTGAATAAATATGCTGAAGAGTGGCCTAATTTGAAATTTCCGATTGATTCATTCCTAATACTAAACTAGCGATTTTTACTACTTACTGAATATATACAGAAATAAATAGTTATCGAGTAATCTCCACGAGATACATAATAAATCAATGATAAAGATAATAAATGTAATAATTGGAAGAAAGTTGGATTCAAGAACCTCAGCATATGTTCCACATTGGGTCCAAATTTATCTAGAGGATCGGATCAGAACATCGCGAATTTTACGATATTTTGCGAATTTTATGCCAAATAATTTGCCAATGATTTGCTATTAAAGTTGCTACTAATTTTAAATTCGCAAAATTTTGTATCTACATATAAATTTGTGTCAACTTATTGAAAATTGTTTGCAAATTGTTTGAATTATTTTATTGAATTAACGACTTATTATACAAATTCAATGAATTGCAAATAAATAATTTCCCCTAGAATTTTTTACGTTATTCTTCTTAAAGATTACCATATTTTACAATTGATAACCCTATATTTTGGTTAAGTAATTTTTATTAATCAAATTGAATGAAATGTTAATTATTCGTATTAAGTGGCTCAATTTCGGATGGGTCGTCTTCTACTTTGACACATTTTTGTTCATCATTATTTGAATCACCATACAAATCCATATCTCTGCCATAGTACCAAATCATGAAATCAAAGCAAACGCCAATAGCCAAGAAAACGGCCGAAGTTGCATGAATATAGTATCGAAATTTGACTGAGTCGTACAGGAGACAATTGCCCTCTCGTCCACACTTTTGGTTCCAAATTAAACAAGTAAAATCGATAATGCGACCAAAGATGATGGGTGCTGGAATTAAAGCAAATAAACTAGCTGTAAATAGTGAAAATCCTTGACCCAATGCCTTATCTCGCGGTTCGACCGTTCTGCAAAACATTATAAAATTACTCGATAGCCAATTTCTTTTTTGTAATAAAATGAATTACCGTAAATTAAGTAATACGCTTGACATTAAACCAGTAATACAGAAAAAGTTTGATGCCATTGAAATGAATGTGTATGCATAATAATCAAAATTGCAATCCCCAAAGCATGCACCAGATGAAACATGGTGCTCCACTTGAATTTCATCTGATGGGCCTTCAGTACACGAGCAATTGGTGTAAGCGTTTAACTTTTCATCGAACGTCTTGCATCCAGCATGACACGGTGAAAAATAGGTTGTACTTGATGAATGGTCACATAGAGGAGTGTAGGATATTCCTTCACAAATACAGTTCGCATTACATGAAACCATCGATTGATCGACCGTCAATGAATGACTATTGTCGCATCCCATTTGAGTAAATGAAAGTGTACAACACACCGAAAATAAACCAATGATAACATTCCAAAAGAATAAGTACTTCGGTGATGGTTGATATTTTTTAATAATATAACCGGAAATTAATAAGCCTGCCGACATGCCGACCATGTTGATTGGGCCCGTGAAAGCACTTCCACCGGCTGAAGTCTTATTGAACTGAACTTCCATCATTCGGCCCATGAATGTCATGGTACCAGAGAAAGAATAAATATAAAATACGCTACAAAAACAGTTCAACATCAGCAATTTATTCGTTAATAGTCGCCATATGGCTTTTGGAAAATCTGAATATGAAAATTAAAATGAACATCATTGAAATTGACTTTATGCAGGTTTTTTTTAATTAATGTGAATTCGACATACCTTTCAATTTACCATTTTCAGTCTCTTCGATTTTTTGTTCTGCCGCTAATTTCTTGTTACATATTTCTTCACCCGGATCTTGTTTTTCCACCGGGTTTTCTTTCTTCAGACTTTTTGGAAATAAACCAATGATGCCAGCGAAGATGAACATCAATATTCCAACCTATATCAAATAATTAATTTTTAATCAAAGCTGAATACGAATTTGATGGCAAGAAATGTAATATAACCAGAATCCATCCTAGCCACCATGCACCCATCCAACGATGATCGTCTTTTGAAATTAACGGCGTTAGCGTAGGGGCAATATAAATTCTCAATACAATATATGCGAAACCATAGCCAAAAGTGGGTCCAAACATTCGCATTGCATATGCATAGGACAACATTAACGGCGAGTTATGTTGCTTTGTATTATCATCAATGTATGTAGCGCCGAGCGAATAGTAAAGCGTGTTTCCAATTCCGAGCACGAATTGTGATAAAAAAATCAGAATCAGCGGGATATATGAGAACTCTTCATCACAATCATCGTCAATGTTGGAAGAACTTTGACATATTTTATTATTTTTCAGCTTATTTGAATTTAATGTAATCTCTGACGAAATAGTCTATATAGAATTACGAATGTTAGATTACATTTTATATTTGATTCTTTCAAGAAATAATGGAAAATTGTAAAGCAGAAGTGTTTGATTTGTTTGCATTACCTGATTCCACGATAAGTATTCGTGTGTGTATTGAAGTGCTTCTTCGCCGGCACCGTAAATGAAATGCGGCCATGCCAGTATAAAGCATGAAAATGCACTACAAACTATACCCAATGACATCCACTTGGGAATATTTTTTTGACCACCAAAATATGTTAAAATCAATGACAGTAAGATTTGCGACACCTCATTTCCACTTAGTATTATTCCTAGAAAATATTATGAAAATAAGTCACGAGTCATACTTCTTGAATAGGTCAGACACTTTTAGCTTATCGTTGAAATGTAAGAAAATGATAACAAAAATTCAAATTGAAGTGTTGTTGAATGCAGCTCACCTGTTGTCTGACTAGGAATTCTAAATCTTTTTTCAATTGTAGGCAATGTGATATAGAAATAAGTGCTACTGGCCGTTTGAATTGTTCCTAATAGCGCATAAACAACAATAAACCTGAAATAAAGACGGGAATAAACAAACAACGTAGAAGAACTTTGAATTTATTAAGAAGTTTGCTCACCATCTTGTTTTGGCGAATTTCTGTATCCATGTTGGGTGCCAGCAAGAAAATCCACAATTGGTCATGTTTTACAAATTGAAAAAAAAAATTGCAAATATTTTGATTTCGAAACTATATAAAATTAATGTTGTCCTTTTTAAATAGTTTCAGGAGAAGAAAAACAGAGAAAAGTCTCAAATATTTAAAATTTAATACGAAAATTCGAAAATAAACTGCTTTTTATACTTTTGGTCTGGAAAGTAAAAATTACAGTAAGAGTTTTGCAGTCGTATAATTTGGCGACTGACCACTGATAAATGCATTGAACTACTGAATACTCGTTTTATTATCATGTCATGCAAGCACTCACTTCAGCAAATGCAAAGATAAAATTTAAAAAAATATTACTTCTGTGTCGCAATTTTATACAATTCAATTATGTCTCGAGTAGCATGATTCTATTTAGAAAAGCCATACGTTCTGACAAGGGGTTTGACTATACTGCTCTTCTCCCCTGCGTCAACGGTTTTGAAAAGAACCTTCCTAAATTGAAGTCAAACACTTCTGATCCAAGTAGATTTTTGTAAAAGAACTTTCCATTTATTTGACTTACCAAATTCTTTTTTTTTCTAATTTAACACACGTTAAACTTTATAAAACTAAACTAACTCTATTTCCAATCGGAATAGCCCTCTTGACTTTCTGATTCAGAATGTATAGACTACATTTAGCACTTATATCTTATTTAACGCAATCCATTATTCAATTAAACTAATTTCGTTGTAGAAAAAAATATGGTTTCGGACTGGTTTGGTCGACTCTATACATTTTTACTGTGCTATAAAGTGCTGGATAGAATAAGTAACAGAAAGATAAAGAAGTCAGTGTACAGGAAACCGTTACTTGTGTGTTTATCATTTACGGACTTCGATTCATGACCAAGATTAACACTTTAGCATAAACATAAGAAAATTTAGATTTTGACATTTTGGTTTATTCATAGTGTATTAATGCGAAAAAAGGTAAATTAGCCTTGAAATTCTAAGAAATCAACTTACATATGTAATCGATTATTATTCAATTAAAATAATTTCGTTGTAGAAAAAATATATTTTCGGCTGTTTCTCAGTCCGGAGCAGAGTGAGGAGCAAAATATTTAAAAAAAAAATCAAAAAAGCATTAACTCAGAAGTCATTAACGACGAAATCATATACATTCCGCGTTTCGAGGCGTAAGAATTCAATAGCTTTGATCAAAATTAAATTTTCTAAGTGAAGAATTTTCCATTTTACCTTTTGAATAAAACAAAACTATCGTACGCACAAATCCAGTGCAATATTTGTTTAAGCCAATAAGTGTTTATTGATATATCTATATTGCCTCTGCACCGCTTTGTGTCAAGCAAAATATTTTCGTCACATATTATTTTTCAAAATTATCTTATCCGTTCTTCACCTGCCTTATCTTCTTATCGCTGATAAAAGTAACAAAAAAAGCATTCAACCGCTTTGTTTAATTCGGGCGTGTTTCACGGCAAGTTCGGTCTTTTTGGTCATTCATTTAAGACGAAATTAGTCATATTTTCTCTTCCGCGTAAAAGAGAACGGTTGTATTCAGTGGTGATCGACATGTGCTTTGCATTTATTTGAATTTCTGCATAAATATTCGTTTTGAAAATGAGGCCAACATCACTTGATAGATTTCGGGTGACCAGTCCAAGACCAGCATATGAAGCTAATGCACATAATGTTGACGAAAGTGTGTGTTCATTACAAAATGTGTAATTGTGAAATTATTCGATCTAATTGCATAAATTTGCTTTATTTTAGATTCAGTGGATTGTGGCATTCAGGTATTGAAATGTTGTGATACACCACGATGGCGCCAAATGGGAACTACAAAAACATTTTTAACTGTTCTCATTTTACTGGCAATCGTTCAAGGAATTTGCGAAAAATTCATTTCAATTTCTGCCAACCAAGCTGCCTTAGAGCATGATTATAACCCAGATATTATTGGTTTGTGAAAAAGTAACTAAAATACTTAAGAGTGTTTAATGTTGAAAGTTTAAATAATGTTTTTAGAATGGCTGCTCGTGTCTAACGGCATAATTCAAGGTATTTTCTCCATATTTATTGCTTACTGGGGAAATCGAATACATAAGATAACATGGTTATGTGGAATGGTGGTATTCCAATCAATTACTTGTTTGTTGATCATTTTCCCCACCTTAGCGCACAACGATAGGTATGTTTTATGATAAGAAATTGTTGCGTTATTTAAACAAACTAAAAAAAAAATTGTTTTTGTTTTTCTACAGTACGGCAACATCGTCAATGGTTAATATACATTCGGTGGAATTAAAATGTACAAATTCAATAGAGTTAACAGCTAATTTATCTATTGAACCCGTTCCACAAGCTATAACAACATTGATTGGTTTATTCTTGCTGCAAATTGGAATTTCCTATGGATTCATTGCATTTTATACACTTGGTTTAACCTATTTGGATGATAACGCGATCGAACATAATAGTCCTGCACTAATTGGTGCAGCATTGGCCGGTCGATACATGGGTTTTCTGTATGGCAATCTTTTGGCCTCTTTCACGTATGGAGTATCATTGGGATGGTGGTTGGGTTGGGCAATAATTAGCCCGATTTTATTAATAATCGCCATATTCATAGGACTATACCCGCGGCGAATGATACAATCATTGATTCGACAAGCGGCCGATGCCATTGTTGAAACAGCCACCAATAGTAGTCAATTATCTTTATCACGCACCAAATTCCTATCAGACATTTCATTTTTTAGCTCTATTTCCCGATTGTTTCGCAATAAAATACTACTACTAAACATTTTCGCAACGGTGTTCATTCAAACAGCTCTAATCAATTTTACACTACAACAAGACAATTATCTACAATCACGATTTTTGATGCCGGCCGATGGTTCGAACGTTCTAAACAACGAATGGACCTCCAGAACTCTATCGAAATTAATACAGCCGATTGTTGTCGGATTGGCAATTTTGATCGGTGGTTTAATTATCGCAAAAGCAACACCGAGCCCAAGGTAAATAAACATTTTTTTTTTCTTCTGATAAACCAAAAATGTTAACTTTTTTTATGTTTAAACAGAAAAATTGTTGCGTGGAATTTGATAACCGCTCTGATTGTTTGTTTGCTATTTGTTGGTTTTATTTTCATCGAATGTTCACACAATGCAATTGCCGGTGCCTATGGCAAAAGACTTGTCTTGCCATATTGTTCACGAAGTTGTGTTTGCGATTCGGATATTCGATTTACACCCGTATGTCCGGAAAATAGTGAAAAAACATTTTTCTCACCGTGTCATGCTGGATGCGTCACCGAGCAAGAGGTTAATGGACAAAGAGTTTTTGGAAATTGTTCATGTGGAACCGATCCAGACGTAAATTTGATCAATGAAGGCGTTACCGTTGCAACAGAGGGTGCTTGTGGCTATGAAAATTGCCAGAAAATGTGGATCATCTTTCAAATTTTAGTTGTTTTTGGTACCGTTTGCATCGGTTCACGATTCGTTGGAAAAATATTAATCACAATTCGAAGTGTTTTATCACAAGACACCGCGATAGCTTTGGCATTGGAACTAACATTCGTCGGTTTAATGGCTTATATTCCAGGTTGAAATCATACATTTTATTATTAATATCAATTTATTGTCATTTAATGTCTAATATTCCACAGGGAAATTGGCTTACGAGTACATTGCAGGTACCGATGTGTTAACCAGTTGAATTTAAAAGTATTTTAAAATGAAATATATTGATTGCAGATATAACGTGTCAGTATTGGTCACAAAATAATTTACTATGTTACCTGCATAATTCACAAGATTTTGGAAATATTATCAATATTCTAAGTGCCATTTTATCATTGGTTGCTGTCATTTTTGAGTTTATACTACTCTTCTTCGTGAATGATTTGCAATTGTATGGAACCGAAGTTGAGCCACAGTTGACGGGAGTGGAACTACAACCGATTTCAAGTGAAAGAAATGAAACCGATGGTATGTTGTCTTTTTCATGTGAAAGTATTTCGATTCAAAATTTGTTTTATTCAAGCTCCTGCTCCTTTAGTTGAATCACATGAGCCACTACTTACCCATCGTGAAAATGCAGAGGAGCCAGTTTCAAGTCAAAGTCAATTACCACATATTTCTGCGCCCATTTCCATCACTTCTACAAGCCAATCATCAACCGCAGTAGGGATGGTTACTCAAGTTAAGCAAAGTCTATCTAATCGATTTGTAATGTCTGCCCAATCGAAGGCCTCAACTGTTCGATACAGTCCTGTTTATAAAAACACCACCGAAAGTCACATCGAAGAATTGAATTCACGCCTGAAAACACTGAATGAACGCACATGCAGTAGTTTTAGTGATAATGACGCCTTAGGAGCGCAGGCAACTTTAGTGCCCGATATAAATCCGTCGGTTGGAAGCGATAATGAAAAGGATCCAGAAGTAAATATTCGACAATTGGAAAGTTCGGTGAGTTCCTTGAGTGGTTTGCCAAGTGGCAGCAGTGCTATTAATTCACCCGAAATCGTTCGAAATAGAGTTGTTAAATTAGATGAAAATTGGCATGTGGAACGATATGAAACCGATTTTTAAGTTAGAAAGTAATATCCGCATCCGAGCCATTTTTTTTTTTTCATTTCGACTTACCTCGTAATATTTTTTCTGCAAAACCTGTAAAAACAAATGACTTAAATTCTAATGCAAATTCAAAGACACATTGCTGTAGTTAATATTTTTTTACATAATTTATTTTTGTAGTGGTTTTTTTTTTCTAATAATAAATTATAGGATACGATTTTTTTCCATTGATTATTTTTTAAGGGATGCAAATATTTTTAAAATCTTTTTTTTTTTCTCAATATATACAAAAAATTCATCATTTTTTCAATGAAAAATTGAAAATAAACATTAAAGTTACAATAATAGACAATTCATGTTTTTTTTAGTGATACAAAAATAACTGAAAAATAAATGTACACAAATCACACGAAACAAAATCAACAATATGAACTTTCAGATTAGTTTTAGTTGACAATGAACAAAATAAAAAGAAGGGAAAAATTGTTTTTAGGGTGAATTGATGCGATTTCGAGCCCAAAAGATGTCGACCTTCTCCAGGATCGTTGCTTTTATTGTGGCGTCTGTGTGTTGAAACATGCGCAATATTCTTTCATTCTCTCTATAACGATCACGTCGTGCTGGCAAACGCTTGTGATGAAAATGTCATTCCGTGCAGTAATTATTGAGGCCGAACACATGCAGTAACTTCAAATCTGGTGTGATGGTCTTTATTTGGTTGATTTGTATTGTTGAGAGATTTGAAGTGGCGGTTTTAAATGTGTTGTGTGTGTGATAGTAGTTCAATTGGAAATAGTCTGTTTCTAAACCTGGATGATCAAATAAAAATGAGTTTTCCGTGTTCTGGCCACATCGTTTTTTTTTTGTTTGTTTTTCAAATTGATCTTAAATTCTAGATTTTTTTTTTATTCAGCTAAAAATATGCGTTCATATGCCTTTCGATTTCGCTGCTTCAATGCGACATAAACAAGCAATGCATACTTGTGTTTGCAGTTCATTCTACGTTGGTATGATTTAAATACATTGCCAATTCGAATAAATGCTACTGCATCTCTTGGTGTTTTGGATGTTTTCAATATAACAAAATTTCATACACACCGATTAATTGTGCCCGAAATTTCGATTGTAATCCCATTTACAACTAAATGTTAAATATTAACATACTATTATTTCGTATACAACATAAAAAAAATCGAATGCGAATTTATAAAATTCATAGTAAATGTGGAATTATTTGATACAATCAAAGCAAATGTCTAGCTTAATTTAAATTGGTTCCTTTTTTTATAAAGAAAGGACTTTCTTTTGTACTTTTATCATAATGTTATACAATTTGGTTGAAAACACTGGTTCAATAAAATCTAGAATAAATTTATACACATTTTATTATTTTAAAAAAATGTTTTTGCTTTTTCATCACAGAAAAAATCAGTCGAATTTCTTTTTTTTTTTTGTTTGTCTGGTTCTCGTTCATTCTCATCATTTACACGTTCAATACAATTAATATCGATCGAATAAAATTCATACTTCGGCTTTTACTTTGTTATATCTTAGGTTAAGTCGAAATTTAAAAAGAAAAAGTATACAAACAATTGCATCGGATTAAAATCACAACTACATATATCACAGTTTGGGTTCATAAATCTATTCTTTTATAAAAATGTGAAAAATTACATGTCGTTCTATTTGCTGATCATACATATATTCATCATACGGTTTGTGTGTCATTCTTTGGAACTTACGTTGGAAATTTGTATTATTTAAGAGAAATAAAAGCATCTTGACCTTGAACTAAATTCACCCAAAATTCGTTTTTGTTCAATCACAATTATTCACAAAATTGAAATTTATCAAAATACATTGTCTCTTGACTGATTTCATTTAGCAGAACTCTTCGAATAACGCTTACATTACTAAAATGTTAAATTTTAAACAACTGGATTTTCAGATGAAAAATGTCTACCAAATATTGACAAACTTATTTTTTTTCTTCAAGTTTTAAAAGAATAATTGGAAAGAAAGGAAAAGAAAACTATGCCAAATCTAGACAGTAATTGAAAATACCTTTTCTGTTCTCCATGTTTTTTTACTAGGTTTCCATTTATTGGTCATAGCACCAAGTCGCAAATGAATTGGTTTCTTTGCCGTCGTTGAACTTTCATTGGATGGTGATGCACGCTTTTCAGATGTTGATGAACCAACCACCGTTGATTGAAGATTCTTTGTGTCCACATCTGAGAATAACATACAAAAGTTATTTACACATTTCATGCAAAGAAAAAGAATTTAAAAAATAAAAAATTTCAATTGTCTTACTCTTTTCGCTCGATTTAGTTGAACGCTTAAGTTGTATTGTGCTACGTTTCTCATTATTTTTCACGTCCACAGGTTTCTCTGTTGAAAACAAAAAAAAAACACAATTTTGAGCATATCAAAAGTAATTCAATTAAAAGTGGTTAGTTTGAATGTTTACCTCCATCTGGTGATTTGGTCCGTGGTTCGCTTTCAACCGTTGCAAATGTAGATTTGAAATGTTTTTTCTCACCCTTGACATTTCCGTCATTACTTCTCTCCTCTTTCTTGCGGCTATCTTCAGTTTTTGAGCTTTTCCATGAGCCACTTGATTTGGATTTGCTTGATTCGCGTTCTTTATCTCTTCGATTTCTGTCCCTTTCGCGCTCTCTATCTCGTTCCCTATCTTTATTATCTCTGTCACGATCTCTATTATTATATCTTCTATCGTCTCTTCGATTCCGATTCCGATCGTTATCTCTGCGTGATGGTCCACGTCTATGTGAATTCGATTCGGTCTGTAAATCATCAAGATCGCGCAATAAAACTTCAGCTGGTGCTGTTGTTGTTTTTCCCAGTTCCGAAAATGAAACCGTTGGCACATTTGTCTTACGTTCACTTCTTGAGCTCAATTTGAATCTTCCTTCATTTTCTGATTCACTTTCTTCAGATGCAAATAGATCAATGCCATCATTATTATCGCTATCTGAATTTTCACTATCAGACGATGCTCGTATATCATCTTCACCATTTTGGTCTTTCTTATTGTTCATTGTATTTTCATCGTTTTCATTTTTCGATGTCACATCCATTGATTGTTGTTCATTTTGATCCGATGTCAAATGATCTTTGTTATTCGATTTACTCGACGTGCTACCATTTTCCATGGTATTTTTCGTGGGTGATCGTCGTCGATGGTGATGGTTCGTCGATGGTGAATGTGAACGATGATGCAAAGAAGGTGACCCATTTCTTTGGCCATGATTATAACGATTACGTGCTCCACTATGGCTTGATTTATTGCCGTTATTAAATCGTTTCGATGGTGGGCTTCTTCGTGGTGGTCGATTCAAATTATTTCGAGCAAATTTACGATTTGGTGATCGGCTTGATGTGCGTCGCTTTACATCTGATTTGGCATTTGTTGGTGATCGTGTACGCCGTCGCCGATGATTCAATTCATCACCACGTGGCGAACCGGATTTTCTTGAATACATCCCATTGTCACGTTGACCCGGATGTCCGTGCCATGTTCGCGGCGGTTGTCGACTATTTGGTGAGTTTGCTCGTCGATTTGAGATTGGACTGCGTCGTTCCGTGCGATGAGCACCATCGAAATTATTGCGTGCAATTGGAGATCGTGTACGATTTCGTCGACTATGTGTTGGTTGCGGTGAATGGCGTTGCAATTTACGTTGTGGTGAACGGGACACCGAACGATTTCGAAAATGCGGCGAATGATTTGGATAGGCGGGTGAACGTGATTTGGTGCTTCGACGATATTTCCAACTTTCTGGCGATGGTGAACGTGACCAACGACCGGGCGACTTTCGAAATGGTACTGGTGAATGTGATGGTGATTTTCCCTGTCTTCGTTGAATAATTTGTTTATTTTCATAAACAAATGCCGCCGTCCGTGGTGATAGCTGAACATTTGTTATGGGATCTATGATGGGCGGTGCATTTGATGCAACACTAAATGGGACATACTCATTGAATGGAGGTGGTGGATTCAGTCTTTGTGGTAGATATGGCTCACTAATTTCCATTTTTTCGAAGCCTGAATTTACGTACGGTGGCACAGGATGATGAATTAAATTCGGTTGAACCAAAACTGGTTCACATGGTGCATAAAATTTATCGACGGGCAGCGCCGTCGCAGCCACAGTCATTGCTGTTGGCCGAACATTACCCACTACCGGAATTACATGACTATCTGCAATTGATTTTGATGTAGACACAGCTGGAGCAGTGTCTTTTTTCAATGATTTTAATGCTTCCAATCGTAATAATTCCAAATCTTCATCGTCTTCCATTGGTTCGATTGATTTTCTCTGTATAGAAAAAATATATATATAGACAAAACAATGATGGTTTATTAAAACAAATATATAAACACGTGTGTGGGAAGACAAATTGTAAACAAAAAATTTTTATTTTAAAATATGAATAGATCAATTTCAAAGGTCAAATTTGGGACGCTTACGTTGCTTGATTTTGCCATAACGTTGACTTTGTTTTCGAGGATTTTGCTGATTTTCTATTTCCCACAATTTTTTTTCAAATTATTTCACTCTTCATTCAACACCAAAACGATTTAAAAGCGTTATCTCCTTTGGTTTTTTTTTTCTTCTGCCACCAAACACAAATATCCCATACAACTTTCACTGTGCGGCCATCTTGCAATCTCATTCACTGTATATATTTTTTCACAATAGAAGTGCTTGGCAGAGTATTTATTGCGTATTTTTCAAATGCGCAAACTATTTCAACACGCACATATAAAAGAAAATTACATTCACAATTGCTTTCAGAAAGGATGCCTTGAGTTTATGATGTATTTTTTAAAAAATGATACATTCTTGTATAAAATAAATGAGACTTTTTTCGTGCTTGTTTTTTCCACAAATGAAAATATAAATGATGCAGTCGTGGTTTCTGTTGATGCGACTAAGTATGTATAATTGAATTTGTGGGTATGACAGTTTGCCCAGAAATAAATGAGTTTAAATTGGTGTGGCCAACTGTGAACAATTCTCTACACACATGTAATACGAATTGGGCAATACTGTCGTAGACTCTCCGAAGTGACAGCTGTTCCATTTCTCTCATTCACCCATTGAATTTCATTCATTCAGTCCAAAAAAGTAGAAACTTCTTTTTTCTAACGAACAAAGTGATTTAAATTTCAATCAACTGACAATGTGATTGTCACATTTTAGAATAATTTTAAATAGTGGCCAATTTGGATTGAACGTAGATAAAAACCAAAGAAAAATTATCCCACTGTTTCAATGACATCGAAATTGCGCCAAAATATTTCCACATTCATTTGGTATTTTTGTATCTAAATTTAGAAAAATCACAGTTAATTTTCAGTGGTAATTTTTTTTTGCCGTTTGTGTATCCAAGTGAAGAGCAGTGCGAGCAAGATGTTTGTTCATAGGTTTGTTTTGTCGACACGTTCATACATGATTTTTCGCGTATGTACAATATGCAAATGACTTTCTTTGTTATTGTAGGTGGCTAATGTTCATCGTGCTAAGCAGCTCTACAATACACATTGTACAATGCTCTTTTTTCGATTATTTCATTCCACGCCGATCAAGTATGTTAATTTATTCTGCTTTTATTAACTATTGCTTCCTTTTATTTAAACATATTTTGACAAAAAAAAAATTATTCTTATGGTTTTCTTCAGATTTCTTGTCCGGCACTGAAGTTGACTCACCGGTTGTTCCGTATGAAATTGCAACCAGCGATGAGAAATTCTTACAAGAAGCTTCAAAACTAATCGGTGTGAATTTATCCGAGCTGGACTTGTGTCATCATCGAGTTGTTTTGAAATTGCGAAACTCTTGTCATGAATTAAATGCCGAACAAGTGGGAAAATTGGCTGTAATGTTGTTGAATTGTCAATCGAATTCAGAAGGACGACCGTTGTTTGAATGCACTGAAAATATGTCGCTCAAAGATTGTACGTCCGGCATGGATTCAGACACCTGGAATGCATATCATTTAATTACAAATCGAGCGAAAGCCGTATGCGTTGCCACACGTCATGAACAATTCAGAGGTCTCACTGAAATAACAGTGAATAAACTTATGTCGAGTGGTGAGCACCTTTTTTTAAAATAGAATTTCAATGGTATTAAAATCCGTTCGCAATTTATTTTCTTCATTGATCTTTTTGGTTTCAGCTCAACATCAAATTATAATGCTAAAAAAATTGTCGGAAAATCAGAATGAGCTGCATGAATTAACGTCACAAGCAATGGACGATTTTACGAAGAAAAACGAAAAAGTAATCGACCAACAAAAGGAGATTCTTCAAGTATCCAATTCGCATCGGGCTATTGTGGAAGGAAATTTGCATGAGTTAATGCGAGAAAAGGGACTGATTCGTTCGGGTCAAGTCGAAGTCGCACGTCTGATTGAAACGCTAAAAGGAAAATTGGACGAAAGTCTGGCCAATCTAAAGGTACAATCACGTCAAATGAAAGATAATCAAGCTGCCTTATTAGAAGATCTAAACAATCTTCAAACCAACGCCTTTCACATATCGGATAAATTAAGTGATACCTCGGAGTATATCCTATCGCAAAATGAAATTGCCTCAACTCAATTCGACCAGACAATTCAACGCTTGAGTGAAATCAATCATACGATCGAGAAGCTTCAAAAATTGATGACAACGTTAGAGAGTAGTGTTGATGATAAATTGACGTGGATTACCAGTAAATTGGGTGGTGCAGATGAGGCATTGAAAAACATTTATTTAATTCTCCAATACATTGGCTATCTACTATTCGGCATGTTAATATTAGTATTTATAAATGCGCCAGGATTTTATCGGATATTCTTCATTTTTGCCGTTCCATTGAATTTTGCATGCACACTATGTGAATGGCACTATGTAAGCCTAATTGAATTAACACAGATTTTAGTCACTGTATTTGCATGCAATTTGATTCGGCAAATGTTATGGAATATGAAGAGTCCGTTTGCATTGAACAAGAAAACTGGATCGCAACATACCAAAGAAATTCCACAAAATCAACCGGAGACTGAACGGGAAGCATCACAAGAAAAGCAATACAATGAATTCGATGGAAATGATAATAACAATGATTACAGCTACAATCATTTGAGCGCATTCAAAAATCGACATCGCGAATATATGCGCGAACAATCAATGACACCGTCGGTGGCAAGCAATCAAAGTTTTGATGCTCGTGGCCTGACACCATTTACCTCAACATTAATGGATCGTACACGCTGCATTTCACTCACCGTCAAAGGAGACCAATGCCGTAATGCGGCGGTTACGAACCAAATCTATTGCCGACGACATGAAAAGTAGATAATTAAAATACATACATTCACGCTTTTACTTATAAACAACAGAATATTTTCATACCAGTGAACAAATTTTACCACAATCAACGATACTACCTTTAAGATAGTTATAAGTTTAACGTAAATTTAATTTATAAATAACATAATTTATTTTGTAGTATTGTGAAATTGGCACGACTTAAATCCAGTATATTTAAATTTTAGGTAGACATTTTTTTTAACAAATTAGCTGTTTTTTTTGTTTTAAAATTAAATTTATATATTGTTTGAATTTAGTTAATTACAACTGTAATTTGAGTATTTGTTTATGTCAAAATAAAGGGAAAAAATAAATGTAAAACAAAAAGTTTCATTATATTTTCAAGAGAAGCCACTTGAATTTACCATTATTGTTCGATCAAAATGACAATTACGTCGAAATAAAAAAGTAATTGTAAAATTTAGAAAAGTAATTGCACAACTCTAGGTAATTGCACAAATGAAAGTAATTGCACTGTGAGTAGTTCCATTTTCACGACTGATATTTTTGGTCGATTTTCCTTTATTTTTTTTCGCCAAATCTACTATTTTCAATTGCATGCGATTATATATTTAAAAAAAATCTGACAATTTCATTCAAAATTGCAAATTAGAAACCAATTTGCTGATTTAAAATCAGAACGTTTGTAATTTATTCAACCATTCCCATTCTGTCTCGTAAACTCTCCACAGTAAGTGTCAGTTATTGTGAATGGTGCATAAATGTCATGCATTGTTTATATCATCTAGTACATTCTGTCACATATTTGACGTTCCAAATATATTCCTACCAAAACACACGTGTTTTTGTTGAAACGTTACCGTTTTATATAAAATCCAACGTAGAACTTGGATTTTTCCTTAATTTATCTAAATTGTTAGTTTCGGTGTAATTCAAAATGGTAAGAAATTAGTTTGGTTCCATTGAAATACGAAATTAATTTGAAATTTCTTAATTAGGAAAACGATGAGTTGCCCGGATTCGATTTGCCCGATACATCCAACACAAGTGAGTGGAAGGATAAATCGAAATCAACTAAAGCTAAAGGTGGCTTTATGGCAATGGGCTTGAGTTATAATGTGGTAAAAGGCATTACAAAACGTGGTTATAAAATCCCGACACCGGTGCAACGGAAAACGATTCCATTGATCTTAGAAGGACGGAATGTCGTGGCTATGGCCAAAACAGGTATTGTTAATTATAATCTCTCTTTTTCAAAATTTAAGTATTTAATCAAATATTTTAAGGATCCGGTAAAACGGCTTGCTTCCTGATTCCGATGCTTGAGAAATTGAAAACACGACAGGCACACACAAACGCCAGAGCATTGATTCTTTCGCCAACGCGTGAGTTGGCCGTGCAAACATTCAAATTTATCAAGGAAATCGGCAAATACATGGATTTACAAACGATTCTTGTACTTGGTGGCGATCCAATTAATTCACAATTTCAAGCGATGCATACCTGTCCAGATGTAATCGTTGCAACACCAGGTCGTTTTTTGCATTTGTGCGTTGAAATGGATTTGAAACTATCGTCAGTTGGTGAGTTCATTTTTTAATCTGTATACTATAGACACCGTTTAAAATCGTTGTTGTTTTCTCTGGCAGAGTACGTTGTTTTTGATGAAGCCGATCGTCTTTTTGAAATGGGTTTTGGTGAACAACTCAATGAAACGCTGAATCGATTACCAGAGTCGAAGCAAATGGTCATGTTTAGTGCTACGTTGCCAAAAATGCTGGTCGATTTTGCAAAGGCTGGTTTGAATGATCCGGTACTCATTCGGCTTGGTTAGTTTACCTTTGATTTTCTCAGTGTTTATGTGAAATATCGCTTTTCAATGGCTTATTTCTTGAATTGTAGATGTGGATTCTAAAATACCAGAGAAATTGAACATGAAATTTGTACACATTCGACCAGACGAACGTTATTCTGCCTTGATATGTCTATTGAAGTATATCGTCATGGAAGGATCACAGACCGTGGTGTTTGTCGCGACGCAGCATCACGTTGAATTAGTTTCATACGTAAGTTCAACGTCAGCTTGTTATAATTCTTGTTTGGACATGAAAGGTTAATTCTTTATTTTTAGGTATTGCATCAAGCCAAAATTACGAACACATTCATTTATTCGAGCATGGATCCATCGGCGCGAAAAATTAACACGGCTCGTTTTCGTTTGAATAAAGTATCAGTGTTGATTGTTACTGATATTGCAGCACGTGGTATCGATATTCCACAATTGGATTACGTGGTAAATGTACATTTTCCAGGTAAAAATCATACATTTTATTATTAATATCGTTCGTGTGACCTGGTTCTCATTCGCCGCAATGGAATTCAAGACGGATTCAAGCCCCTCTACATCTGCGTTGTCCACAACTAGAATACGATGTTCGAGTCCAGACCAATACTTCTTCATTTTTGCCACCATTTTACCGTCTTTACTTTTTTCCGCAAATTATGTAAATGCAACCATTTTCTTTTCTAATAATCATACGGCAGCCGTTTTGTCGGGATGTAGAGGAGCTTGAATCTGTCTTGAATTCCAATGCGGCGAATGAGGACCAGATCACACGAACGAGCACCATGTCGGGAATATTTTCGGAACTCACGGCTGAAGAAAAATCTTATTTATACGATTATTTGATTCGTTGCTTTGACAACATTGTTCCATTCAAATTACAATAAATTGATATTAATAATAAAATGTATGATTTATACAGGAAAACCAAAGTTATTCGTTCATCGTGTTGGTCGTTGTGCTCGTGCTGGTAGAAATGGTACAGCGTTTTCACTCGTATCAACCGACGATGAAGCACATTTATTGGACCTGTATTTGTTCTTGAATCGGACATTTGACATCAATAAAGCAACTGAGATTGGCACAGTACCACCTGACTTGTTGGAAGATGAACATGAAGCCGTTTTGAAATGGCTTGCAAACCAACATATCGTAAGCAATTTTTGTGTGAGAGATTTTACGTTAGCCAGAATGAGCGTTCATCTGAACTTAGTATTTTTTGGATTTTGCGGAGACCTCTATGAATAAGACTACCACTAGTCACAATTCACAATTTCTATGTTAAACCAAATATTCTCAAAGCATATTTCTTTTTTATCTTGTGCTTTCAGTCTGGCGTATTAAATACCGCAACCAATGCTTACAAGAAGTATTTGAGTACACGGCCAGTAGCATCTAATGACGCCAACAAACGTGTCAAGTCGATTAACTTTAATATGTTACCGGCATTACGCGATTTCAACGAATACTTGTACGGTGACAAAGTTGATGAGAAAAAGGATGTGCTCCATGTTACACTTTTATCCAAAATGCAAAACTACAGGCCAACGGGGGTATGTTGAACTAATTCTATTTTTTAACAAGACCATTCACAGCAACATATTTATTTCATTTGCAGACAATATTCGAACTGAATCCGCACCAAAACTCAGCGCAGTGCGAAGTAATGAAAAATAAACGTCTAGCCCATAGTAAAATTATTGAGAATTTCCAAGAGAACGCCCAACAGGCTGACGTCGTTCGACATGATATGGCCGATATGATGGAGGTAATGCCATGATTGGTTTTCAATTCAATTAAATATTTCAATACTAAATAAACTTTTTTTTATTTGAACAGAATATACTGCCAAAGTCAAGTGACAAAGAAATTAGTTCAACATTTTCGAATGTGGTTTCCGAACGAAAACGCAACATCGATGAATTGTACGAGAGAAAGAAGAAGAAGAAGAAGAACTTCAAGAAGTTGAAATTGGGAAAATCGACTCGCGATACAGAGAATTACATCCCATATCATTCGAGTGATAAGCACACCGAGGACGGCTTAGCTATAAATTCATTCGAAAGACAAGCACAAAATGCTGAATTGAGTATATCAACCAATACGCAGGAAATGCACTATAGACCGGGCCAAAAGAAATGGGACCGTATCAAGAAGAAAATGGTGTCTGTTGAAAATCCAAAAGCCGGAAAAATTCGCACAGAATCTGGTATTTGGATTCCGGCCACATACAAAACAGGTAAATTGAAATTATATTATTTAAATCATTTCACAATGTTAATCATATTCTAATCAATTTTATAAACAGGACGATATGCTGACTGGAAGGAGAAAACTAAAACAGAAGATATTCTCCATCAAGAAATGGGCCTTGAAGGTTTGTACATTTCAATCTATATTTTTTTCACTTGTGAATTTCAAAAATGTTACGTCTAATTGCAGCTCCAAAACGTAATGAGGAAATTGTAACCACACAATGGAAACGGCATAATCTCAAAGAAGAGGTGAAGAAACGTATGAAGGGCAACTCTGGCGAAATGAAAACACCCGAACAAATTGTACGTGAACGTTTGAGACTTGAACTCATTAAAAATCGTGAAAGAGTCAACAAACATGTTAAGAATTCGAATCGAAAACGGACCGCTAAACAACAAAAGCAAAGACAACGAAAATAAGAAGCAACTGTTATCTGCCTTCATGGCAATTCTTCTTGAAATATTTTTTTTTAATAAAGAAAATACTATTTACAATTCGAGAAAAATAAAATGTGTTTGACTACTTGACATGGTGTTGAGAGAAAGAGATGAATATTCATTATTATTTAATTGAACATATTCTCAAATATACAATAATGTATGCTTAAACTGAATCCTATTTAGTTATGTATTCAATTTCATGTCGCATTTTATGGTTTAATGTATGTTTTACATTTGGATTTTTCTTTTCTTGCGTATTAGCGATTTGTGTAACTTTACATCTTGAGCGTTCACAGTTGTCCTAGGAAATTCATAACACAGGAATTGTTGCAAGTGAATTCAGCTTTGTGAAACATCCACAAGAATGTGACTTCATTGTCGGGATCAAATACCAGGCCATTTTCCGTCAAAGTTTTGTCAAGTGACAGATGTGCACTTGGGCAACACTGTGAAATAACCGAACAGAAAACCTATTGTAAATATTTTGAAATGTAAAAAAAACTCTGTTGTCATGACTTACTGTTGATTCAGTCTTTCGCCAAATTATATGCTCGCTATTTTTCTCTGGATAAGCGGCAAAGAATTTGGCTTGTATTTCATAGATGGAATCTTCTTCGCAAACTGTGAGATGACACTGGTTATCTGCAAATTTGGAATGATAGTATGATTACACACATATAATGATTTGCGGACAAACATACTTTTGGCTTTGTTGCGAATGCAAACGTGACGTTCTTGTATGGTAATAGCTCCAATAACATATGCCGGATCCTCCCACCAAAATAAATCCTTACTCAATCCATATTCGCTGTGCGATTTCAAATCAAACATTTCCAACTTGTTAAGCGTCCGTTTCTCAAATAAATCGCTGATGTCAGTTCCACCGAACATGTTCAGCTGTTCCAGTGCCTGTGAAAATTGATTCACAATTTTATAGTCATACACATTGAAATTAATCATTTTGATAATGTTCACTTGCCGATTGATTTTTTCCATTGCTTGGCATCTCATCAATGGATCTCATGAGATTCGACAAGTCCAAGACGCGACGATCCAAGATAACATAAAAATCGTTGTGCTGTATGTGGCTCAACACTTCAAATGTACGATAGAAACACTTGTTGTATACATTTTCGATGATTTTTACACCAATTTTTTTCTTCATGATGTTTCAATGAAAAATCGTTCAATGGATTTTAATCGAGATAAAAAAAAAATAACCGATGCGTGAACAGAAATGTACGAAAGAGCACGTGTCTTTATTACAAATTAACAATTACTGTTACGCGCTCCACTCAATTGTCAATTTGATGTAATATTTGTTGTTTTTATTGTTTCTTTTGCGTCTTATAGAAGAGCGACATCGTTATTGTAAGTTTGACATTTATGTTTATAAACTGAGTTAGAGAATGATTTCACTGAATAACACAACATTGAAGTATGTGCTTCATTCGAACTCTGCTGTGTTCGCGTTCGATGTATTGGTTATATTGTCAATGTATCAGCAGCATTGAAAGGAATGGATAAACCAATGAGTTCAGCTTAACGATACTTTCAAAGTGCATTCCAATATGAACATTGATTACGCATGGTGAATTTGAAAAGTCAAATCTTTTATTAATTATCGTTTTTATCCGTTAAAAAGTGAATTGTAATTGTTTATCATCAATAAAGTGTCAATTAAAATATCTAGGATATTATATCCACCATAAATCATTTGATTATTTTATCCAATCTCACCACTGTGTCAGTTATACCTATGTTGGCAGGTTCTGTATTGTAATTGTGCAAAGTTAAGTCGCTTTTCTCATTAGTTAGTTTTCTCACACAGACGAACATTCTGTGTCTTCCACCTAGGACTGGAACGTTCTCAAATACGAAGTTTTTACACTAATCCGTTTTTGTTTTTATTTCAATTTTGTCACCATTTATTTTGTATTTGTTTTCGCGTTCGAATAAAATAAATTAATATGGGAATTAGAGGTTTAGAGAAATTCATTACTTCTGGACAAAATGAGTTTCAAAAGAAAATCAACATTTATGACGAAGTCCAAAAATGGCGTCGGTAAGTATTTCGTGTAAAAACAATAATGAATTCATGTTTGTGAAAAATATCTGTTTTTATAGACAACACAAAAATCGTAATCCGACCGTAATTATTGATCTGAAAGAGTTGAATCGAGTTCTCGGAGATCGCAACAATCGACAACAATCATTCGAACGTGCGATATCTCTTGGTGGACTATATGGAATTTTCAACGAAAACTTGGATCAGTTTTTTAAAAAGATTTATTGTTTATCGACATTGAACAGCCGTCGGGACCGTTTTTCATAGATTTGGTAATCGATGTAACATTGAAGATGATTGGCATAGTATTCAAAGATGTCGATATAGATCTACAGCCACTAACCCGAACGGTGAAATTCAAGCTCGTTGCGAATGAGCCAGCCGTTGCAATGGAAAAGGATATACTTTATCCAACAAGTAAATGAAATGATATTATTTAAATCATTTCAAAATGTTGATAATATTCTAACCAACCAAATTTTTTAGTGGAATTATCACCTGTCGAGAATTTGATTTGCAATGAAAACGACCCGACATTCGATGAAGAGCGCTGGTCGCTTCTACGATGGTTGCTTAGTCTCAACAAAGACATAGTCGCAAAGATTATGACATCAGATGAAACCAAATTCATCAAAATTGTTTCGTTGACGACCGAATTCTTACTGAAGGTAAGTCAACTTTTTCTGAATTTTGAAATAGATGATGATATTTACGCATATTTCAATAAAACAGCATCGAATTATCTCAGCCGAAGAAGCTGAAGTTATTCTTCAAGTGGAGTTAAATTGTCAAACGAAGAGATCCTCTGTTCGGCGAATTCATCGACCACCGGTAATGCCAAGATTTGCTGGTGCAATAGAAAAATCATGGGTTCAAATTTGCCATAAATACACCATCAGCTTTGAGCTGGTTTGCCACTGCCTAGAGTTATGTGGCATGCGCCAACATACCGTAAGATTCAAACCACATATATAACAAAGTTACAACATATTTATAGTTTTATTCATCTCTTAGGAACTCATACAGTTCGATGCTTTTGAATTCCACAATCGTATGCGGAGCATGTAAGCGGATACACATCATAGTGTACTCAACATTTTCGGACAAAATGATAACAAATACTTTAAGACAGAAGCATAATCGAAGTGATAAAATAAGTTATCGACTGAAGCCATTCAAAAACGAAAATCGATGGAATTTTTAAGTCCATTTGATGTTAATTAAAAATTTAATAATATTTCAAAACAAACTGCCGCCATCCCTTTTCGAAGTGAAATATTTGATAATATTGAAATAAGGCGCATTTGTATCCATATTATTATGCAAACCTTTTATTGTTTTATTACTACGATATTCAAGATATTATAAACATCTAATTCGTACAGAAACAGTGACTTTTCTTGAATGAATATTTCATAAAAATCTCGATCAAATCACCAACAAGACTGGGATTTATTTTAACCGTCTTCAAATTTATTTTTTAGATTTTTTCTTTCTTCTAATGTAAACAATTCGATATCAAACATTAAACCAAATTCATTATATTTGAATAAAGCGCCTTCATAAATATATTACAGTACAAATTGTCGTATTTTATTCTTATTCGCAAAACGAGCGCGCTGTCATCATTTTATGTTTATTTTGAAACAAATACTAAAATACTTTCGCATCGTAACTGTGAATGTAACGCATACTCACACTCTGATGCAAATCGTTTGCTCGCACTAATTCAATACGTTCAATACGTCATTTCAACATCTTTCTCTTCTGGATCTTTCGTACAAGTGGTTGTGTGACGAGCTCAATATTTTGTGTGAAATATTAAAAAAAAAAAATAAATAAATTTCATTTTTATCAATAAATATCTGGTAACAGCATAATACTGTCTTGCTTTGTTTTTTTCAATCAATAAAGTGTGAAACATCAGAAAATGGGAATCCAAGGATTAGAACATTTCTGTAAAAAAAATCCCGACATTGCAGAAGAAATTGACATTAGAGAGGAAATTGAAAAATGGCGCGTGTGAGTGAATTCTTTCTTTCATATACAATACATACATTATAAAAATATTATAGCTTTAATGAATATTTCAGTGATCACCATGGCAAAAATCCAACAATAATTATTGATCTGAAGGAATTATTAAGGGTGTTCTTCAGAATTGATGAAGTTGGTTTGATTTTAGGTGGACGATTCGAAATATACAGTGAGATTCTTGAATATTTTTGCGATGAAATGAAGAAAAATGGTGCAAAGTTGGTGTTCTTTGACCGACTCAATGAAGGAAAATTTAATAAAGTCGAAGAATTCCAACCAATTCACCCACAGTATGACTGTCTCATTGAACATAAGCCGATGATCTATAATTATCATCATCAAAATTTACGACCTACCGAACGTATTTCATACAATTTATATTCGACATGCGCAAAGTATGGAAAAATCTATACAAAATACACAAGCAACGCTGGTGTGATTTTGTCATATATTCTAGAAAACTGCGAAGAAGTGATGGCATTGATAACACGTAATACATCATTTTTGGTCCGAATGGTTGAGCTCGAATTTATGTTTTGGAGTCTTTCAAATATTGATTATGGCAAATTGAAAATTACAAAGTTCTGCTATCGAAAACTGTGTGAAATAACTGGATTGGAATTGCATCATAATCACCTGATTTGGGCTATTAAACATGTGGACATAGGTCATACAAGCAAGAACAAGTATCTTTCTTTTGTAGAGTACGCCAAGAAACAGCAATATGGTCCAAATGGATATGATACCGAGCAATTGACTGGTAACTTGACCAATGCGGATCGAACCAAAATCGCCGAAAATCTCGCAACATTAGAAAAGTATGTCGCAAGGCATACTTACTTAAAAATTACTATTCCTGATCCATTCCTTCAATTCATTTTCCATTCTGTTCCATTACCTATTGATTAATTTCCATTTTTTCCATTCTTTTCTTCTGATCAACTCTAGGTATGTCGATTGGAAAGTAGAAGAAGGCATAGTTGATGATTTCATTCAAAATGATGAAACATTCAAAAGTGTGTTACGGTTTTGCAAGGATAACATCTACTTTGCTTACAAGCTCATTATCGAAACATATACAATTCCGAAAGATCTTTTCTACATCGATATCCGTCGATCGGATGCCATTACGTTCATTGACCTTATCATCAATTTAACAATGAAACAATTGGGAATCCTTTTCAAGGATATCGACCCGGAAATGCAGCCAGCGAGACGAATGGTTCTACTAAAACGAGATTTTAATGTAGAAACTGTTAAATATGAAAAAGATATCATTTATCCATCGAGTAAGTAATATTTAACAATTTTCGATTTTTTTTTAATTAAAATTTGTTGCAGTGCCGTTACCCAGTCTGGTGAACTTGATCATTGATGAAGATAACAAATCATTCAACGAATCACGGTGGTGCTTATTACAAAACTTGCTTGATTTGGATGAAGAAACTATTTCGAAGATTAACAATGCAAAGAAGCAGCTGCGAATTGTACTGTACACACTAAAATTTCTGCTGGTGGTGAGTCCATTTTGAGCTACTTTTATTTTCGGAATTATCTGTAACATTCACCTGAATTCAAACAGAATGAAATTATTTCAACACATGATGCAGACATACTCCTGGTCACGGAGTTGGATGGACGTAGTAAAGGAAACGTGTATGTCCCTAAAAATGCAAAACGTCCACCGCCACCGATGCCAAATCAACATTATCCGCGTTATGTGGAGTTTCCGTGGGTGCGAATAGCTCATAAATATACAATCGCCTTCGAACACGTTTGTCATTGCCTTGAGATTTGCGGCCTTCGTAAAGAAGCGGTAAGTGTTGGAAAAGAAACGTTTGCTTTCGAAATATAACTTTAATCGTTCGATGCTAATAATGGAATATATTTCAACAGGACATAATCAAGTTTGATGCATTGAAATTTCACAAAAATATGCATCTCATGAAAAATGGAAAGGACAATGAGGAAATCAAACGTACAATGGTGCGAATCGAAAACATTCGCCTTTGGTGAAATCAACCCATGAATGCTTTGGGTCTGCCTTTTACTGCTGCCATTCTTTAAAATTACTTTCTTTACTTTATCGTAACAATCATATTCAGTTTCATGTGATTTGTAGAGAAAATTCGAGCTTGTGTCAGCCTATTAAACCATTCCAAAAAGTGTTGACACACTGATTAATAACAATGTAAACAACTACATTTGAATTTGAAATAAAAAGTTATGAAATATCATAGAAATAAAATCTACAAATTCAATTGTGTAAAAAATGCAATGTTGAAAGAAAAAGTTGATTCTTTTGGATTCTTTCAATTTCAGCAGAAAAAAAAACGAGTGTAGTTGGCTCGGCTTGAAATCTCTTATATTTTGAAAATTCGGCATTTTTACCAAAATACGTTAAACAAAGCTATAAGAAATCCCAAACCATGTTTTATGATTTTAAATAAACATTTGTATCATTAATTTTAAATTTTAAAAAACTTATTTGTGTAAAAAAATACAAAGTTGGAAGAAAAGAGTCGATTCTTTGGCGTGAGCTTAGACGTCTTGACCTTTTTCATATTTCGAAAATAAACGCATATTATTGTGTGGAACGGAATCAAGAGAGTTTATGTCAATCATGCATATAGCGTCAAAATCAATTTCATTGTGTCCATGCCATGCGATTTTACTGAATTGATGATACTTCGTTTAATCTGACAATTACAGGTGCTTTCATTCATAAAAGCGAGAAAAAAAATTATGTATCTGTGTGTCTGAAAAAAGTATCCCCTAAGTACATTCTCAGCATTGAAAAGGTGTGTCTTGACTGTCTGCGATGCGATTTAGACAAACTGTTCTGATGGAGCAAAGAAAAAACACACATTCAAACGTTTAAAGTCTTTTTTTATATATCGGAACGGAACACCTCGTTTAGTAGCGGCAGAAAAAAATATCGTCTCCACCGATTTTTTTCAGCATTTTTTTCATTCATTGTGGGAGCATTTCAGCGGAGATAATGCACGTAGAATAAGACAAAGTAAAGAGCTTGTGGCAATATCAACGGCAATGTGTGCAAATGTTATGTCAACTTCGTGATGTTGGCAAGTGCTCAGAGAAAACGGGCCACATGGAATAAATAATCTCTCTGCCTGCACAGAGGAGAGAGAGAGAACGAAGAAGAACTGAGAGTAGCGCTCAAAGGCAAAGTAGAGTTTATTAAAATATCGTCGAGTATTTAAGAGTTCAATGTTTCAGTAAAGTCATGTCGCGTATATGTTTATATATGTGTGTTTGCGCGAGCGGGTAATATGCATTGCATAAAGTTTCAAAACATACGGATCACGATTACCGTGAAAAGGTGGATGTGCACTTTTAGTTTTTCATTTCTCTCTCATCGAGCTCATAATCAGTTGCAAAAGTGAAAGAAACAGAGACGAGTTGGAAAATAGATTGATATTAAGAGGGAGGGCGGGATCCGGTGTGTGTGTGTAATTTGCATGAAATCGTCAATTTTTGCTTTGTCTCGATGTACAATTTACTGAAATTAATAAAATTCAGCATGGAATTGTTGTTGGCGTTCTTTTCATCGACTTGTCTGCAATTATAATTAATTAACATTCAGCGTATTTAAGAAGTTTCTCATTTTACTAACGATAACATTTGCATTTTTGTTACGATGATACACTGTACCAAGTTGAGTTTGCTGATATCGTGGAAATTGTCGTCTTTGATGACGACGACAACGTTTCTGTTTTGAGCTATTCTCCAGTGAATAACATACACACAAAAAACAAAACAATTACAATTTGTTTACTTTCATATTGTACTCTTTTCGCCTGTCATTTCGCATTTTGTCTGCATATGTTACGCTTGTTGATATCTTTAAAGTATGAAGCCACGATTCTCATTTCTTTGCATTGTTTGCGAAAAATACAACTCGGAAAACTTTCAATAATTTGCTTAACTTGATGCATTTCAATGGCGTTTTTCCTAGAAATCAGAATTGTTTTTTACATTTCATTTTTGGCATGCGTATGTCTATTTGTCGATGAACTCAGACCCAGAGATTCCATTAAATGTTTTGGGCTTTTGTTGCTCATGTCGTTCACTTATTGAACGATTGTTGTTTTCTCTCCCCATCTATTCCCCCGCCCCTTGCTGTCAAAAAATATGATGAAGACATAAACGAATGATTTTTTTTTATATCGACATCACATCCAAACAAAATGTGAGATTTTCTTTGAATATTTTTCGGCTTATTTTGCCCATCACTCTCTTTCCATTTGCACATCAAATCCAAATAGTACACAAAATGCTTTTCATTTTATTTGCCGGGCATCTGTTCGTTCTTGCTTGTTGATTTGATCTGACAAAAAAGTATCCAAAAAATACCTGTAAAACATTTGGAATTCATTTGCTTTGTGCATGTAATTGAAATATTTATGCTATTTGTTCGTTTTTTTTTCTATTCGGCGAGACAAACATTTGACATGGGATGAATATAAACAATAAAAAAAATTCGTTGGTATTTTCGAATGGATACGCTCAACTTTTTTATGTGTGTTAAGAAAAGCGGAAAAACGACGACATTTTTGGAATTTTCATTTTGCCTTCTTCTTCCTACCAACGAACGTCAATTTTATTTATTATCCCTCATAAGCCAAATGCTCTGAAATACACGCAGGTTTTTATTTTAAGAAATTGTCTGAATTTATGATGATGCACTGAAGCCGAATTACATTCTGAAGACAATTGACATGAGCATAGAGGAAATTAAAGCCCAAATTTAAATGAAGAATTGAAAAATGCCAATTAAACTGAAGTGATATGGTGAAATTGAATTGAAAAAGACATCAAGATGTATGACAAGTTTCATGAATATGAAAAGCATTTAGTTGCTATTCACAGAAAAAGATTTTTCCGCAAAAAATGATATCGGATGGAACTCTATTTTCATAATGTTTATGAATAACAAGTTGAAAAAATAGAATGTAAAGCATATTGGTTGAAACAACATAAATGAATTAACTATGAATGATATAAATATGATTGTATATCAAAGTATCAATGTCATGATGGGGCGATGGACGATGCGATGGGGAATTATTATTTTAAATCCCAGTCAACAATTTGCATTATTTTAATATATCTAACACAACAAAACTAATAATGTCAGCTAAAATCCAACAGCTTTTTACCTGAACCATATCAAATGCATAATGCAATGCAGTCAATCCAATTTCACGTCTCTCTCACACTCACTCTTTCTCTGTTTTATGAATTTATATTCTTTGTTTTGCGCTGTTTGAAAATGTAATAAACGTGAAAACCGCTGGCGTAAAATTTCATTCAGTTGTACAACCCCGACAATATTTACGTGTATGTCCCGCATATGTCCTCCGTATATAAATGTAAATATGGTTGTTGTGCAAAACTTGAAAAACAATGAACACGCACGATCTATAAAAAAAATAATAATATATATGTTTCAAATGGGCAGATTAAAAAAAACATACGGCTAAAGTGTAATTCTCTGAACTAAAAACCGATGCTCCAGTTCAAATGTGCATCCATACAAATATCCATCAGGGAATCAACCGCACAGTTTGTGCGAGTAATTGTGTCTGGTACAGTCATTTTTCGTTCATAAAGCAATTGCAATCAACATATGGCTGTTGTTGTTGTCGCTGTTGAGGTGCAAGCAGATGAACAACGCATTTATAAATGGCCATTGTTTATGTCGGGTTCGCTCTGGTTTATACATTTGCCATACGTTCACGGTGACTGTTTAAAAAAAAAAAAAAAAAGGAACGTTGGGAAAAAACCTTCATTTGCTGTATATGTTATGCATTACCAATTTTCGGTCGACATTACAAAAATTGAGTGACGACACGTAAAACTTTATTTGAAATTTGCAGTTTGTTCAGGAATAGTGGTGGGTTCATGTCAGACATGGTTTCACTGTACACACTGTCGAACGAAAAGCTTTATTTGTATCTCGACTTTTTTTTTGTGTGCTGGCGTTGTGCATAACCTTTTCCATCGGTTCATCATCAAGTGCAAATATGTATTGTCGAGTTCGGATACATGGTACCAATGAATTAATATATATGTTCATTGCTCATGACGATGATGGTCGGATGGGAGATCCATAGAGAAAAAGAGAGAAATAGAGAAATATCGTTTGTTGATTCTCAATATATTGTCAACATTTCACACCATGCAAGCGATTCATTCTCATTGGGATGTGCATGGCAAACGGGATGCTATACAGTAATCATTCCATTGCGAACTCATAAATTTAAATTAAAAAAAAACTTCTTTTTTTACTATTTTCTCTGATGCCATTTTCTGTTTTTTTGGGATGGCAATTTTTCCCGGCAAAGTAATTAAAAAGTGTCGGTTGTTATTTCACATGAGAATTTCACGTGTTAATTAATTGCATAAATTTTCAACAATATCGACAGTAATGGCCATTTTCCAACTGTTAACAATGGATGTCATCGTCGTTGCTGTTGTTGTTGTTTTTGTGTCGTTCGACTTACATCGATTTCAGAACGAATTGTGCGAACAGATGCTTTTTGATCGATTCATTTGGAAGGAGACGCAAAGAGAGAGAGAGAAATACGTCACAGCAATACGTACAAAAACTGGTCCTTTGAACGAAATATCCAGAGATTACAACAAAATAATGACGAGAAAAAAATGCGAAAAAAAGTTTCAAAAAGAAAATATATATAATTTAAAGTACAATTATAAGAAAAGCCATTTGGTTAAAGCCTGAAGCATTTTTTCTGCAACGTTGATTCAAAATACATAAAACTTGTTTTCTATTTGTTTGTTGTCAGTTTTTCTCTTCCATTTATCTATGGCATAAAATCGAGAATATTTTTCCGAATGTATTTTATCGGTGCCGATTCTATGATTTTAAACTTTTTTCTCTTCTTGCAGCGCATCATTTGTACGCGACCGGTCGATAGTCTCATAGGATTTGAAAAGTTAAGAAAATGTACATGTACAATGTAGTAGACCAAAGAAATCAAGCATCAAACGAGCGAACCAACAGCTTAAAACAGTCAACATCGCCAATCGAAAAATCGATATGCCCGCAACTGAATGTTTGTAAGTCCTATTTGCACTTTGTGCATATATTTTTCATATTAGAAAAATATCGTTAAAGCGTGCTGATAGACAAGTGAAAAGAACGAAGCAAAGACAGAAAAAAAAAACAATCAAAATGACTTTAAGCAAAACGAATGAGAGTGTACGAGCGTTATCTGATCGAAAAGTGCCCTCATTTTTTCCCATATCCATATGAAACTCATTTTTTTCTTCTCTCTTCTACTTTTGCCACTACTACATCTCCTTCAGTGTTTTCCAGAATTTTAAATCGGAATACGCTTTGCAGTTTGCCATTTTTCTTTATTTATTCGAATGTTTTTGTTGATTCCGAGCTCTGCTATCACCAAGAGACATTAAAATGTGTCAGCATAAAAGTATATACGAACCAAAGTTCAGGGCAAAAGAATGATAAAAAAAAATATGATGAAGGAAAACAAATACAAGAAATGAAATGTACAACGGAAGAAAAGCGAAAATGAGATGAGAGCAAGAGCAAAGAGAAGAAATAACGTGAGATAAATAAATGTGTGCGATGCGTTGAGCGGCCACATGCTCAAGTATCCATACATACACAGACCAAGAGAGATAGCGTCATTTTCATTCCACCCTCAGACAATCAAGAAATCACAATACTTCGCATTGCAAAAAATCTCTGTAGCGGGAACATTTTCAGCCAAATCGAATAAAAAAAAATACCGAAAAACCGCACGAAATGTAAACAATCATCATCAGCGGTTGTGTGCGTTATCTGATTGAAAATATTATGGGATTATAAAGATGAACGCGCGCGACAATGGCATTGCCAATGATACAGAACATTGCAAGCAGTAAAAAGAAGAGAAAAACCCAACGATCGAAACGAAGTGAGAAAAAAAAACTGTGCTCGAGCACAGAAACAGAGATAAGAGTAAATTAGTTCGACAACGAGCGAGTGGCGTGTGCAAATGGCAAAGTGATGATACTATTCGGCATTCGGAGATCAAACAAAGCACAAATTGCTTGTGAAAAATTAGGGGACATTGAATGGCATAAAATTGTCGCATCATTATTGAGATCATCTGGTCGAAAATTGAATTTTCACTGTGCCGGCCTCCCCCGTATCATTTTTAAGATTTTCTTTTGTTAACGCGCAAAAAGTCAAAAGTCTATGGAGCGACACAACGCAGAGAGACCAAGCTATTTCTAAAATGCTCCAGCTTAATGACTAGATTTAATTATCAATCTGTTTAATTAGAAATTTTCAATGACATTCTCTATTATTCTCACCATCCAGAGATACATCTGATAGCAGAGAGAGTTTTACAATGTGTCTATGATATGAATGACCGTTGTTCCACTAATTGATCGTTGTCTGAAATTAAAGCCGTGACAAATTCGAACGAATTTGAAATTGATTTTTTTCTGTTCCATTCCTAATGGTAAGGGTTATATGATGCGATTGGTCATTGCAAAACATATAAATTCGACACAGTCAATTAAATTTTTTGGCTGTTTTGCAGCTTCACAAATTCAAATGGAATGAATTTTAAATAGGTGCTGAAAATTGTTCGAGGGCGGAAAAATGTTCAATTTGAAATGGCATGCGAAAATGAATTTTTATTTAAATTGACTTTTAGCTGGATGAATTGCGTTTTATTGATGCCATTCCGAAAACTTCAACATTACACTACTGTTAATATTTAATTTTGTTATACTTGTGGGTTTAAGATATATATATATCTGTATTCGGCAAGTGTCTATCGCAGTCAACATTGATTCAAATCTGCACACAAACACACTGAATCGCTAAAAAAAATATGTACAGATCAGTTTGTTGTTAGAAAAAACAAAAAAGAAAAGAAATGAACGATGCTCACAAATAAGAAATGAGCTCGTCTCTGTCACTCTCAACAGAGCTAAAACCCATGGCACTCTTGTCCACATCATGAATAAACACGCGCATACAAACACAATCTCCATCGTGACTTTATGCATGAACGAACCAAGTAGGAAAAAATGCAAAGAGTTGAACATTGAAAACGATTGTGTATTTGCTTGCAGCACTAACACATCGACACACACCGAACTGTTCCTATTTGACATGAAGCACATTAATATATAAATTGTTTCAGTCGGCGATCACACATTATTGACATCGTCTCGTTTTTGCGGCAACATTTACTTTCCTCGTGTGCGATTTTTTTTTTGTGTGACAAACGCTAGAATAAATTGTCGATGATAAAATTTTAATTGTGACGAAATCGAATCGAAACTCTGAAGTAGTATATTTGATATTTTAGTCACTTGTGTGAATTGTGCTGCATAATTTATGGTATGTGTATATAAGAAAATTGTATTCAAGTTCCGTGTACTTTCTTTCATTTGTTTCTGTGATTTTGTCAATTTTTTCAACGAATTCAGTGATATTTTTAGAAGGAACAATTGAAACAAAAAAAACTTTGTTCTCAAATTCAACTTTTTTCTCGTTCATCCTTCACTCTTCTCTCTATCGCTCCCTTTGTCTTATAAAGTATTGATTTTTTGGATTGCTATTTTTTAATGGAGTATTTTTTCGGCAGTTCTACCATGTTTTATGTACAAAATGAATTTTCTTTTTAACCACAACACATACACACTTCTCTTTGCAGTCGAATCATGGAAAATTCAGCCTCAAACCGTCGTAATGCCAAAAAGAAACCGTCTGCACCGATTGAATTGCCCCAGAGTGTGTTGGATAAGTATCGTTGCATGGAAAATTTGCTGCGGCATACTTTGTCACGGAAGTGGTTACGCTACGAGTTTGAATACGATGAAGTCGAGTTGGCCTATTTCACCAAGAGTAAAACTTTCGAGAGCATTTTGTCACGCAAATATCCGCATCAAAAGCATCGTAACTTGACCAGAATTGAATGGCGCGCAATTCGTAAATATGGTGTTGAGCAAAAAATTCGCCGTTTTTCGTCAAAATTCGTGCAACAACAACGCATTGACCTGGAAAAATATCGTCGTTTCTACAATGTGTTGCGCGAGAACAAGCGAGACGATCAATTGGCCAAATTGAACGAAAAAACTATGTCAGAATGTGATGACGCAATTTTTTTATGCGACGAACAACAAAATCAATTCGAATTTTATCGTCTTATCGCTGAGGCAAAGAAATTGATTGAATTGAAAAGCGTAACCGTAACTGAATTACGCGAAATGAACAATGCGAAGACCGAAAATCGAATGATGAGTGACGATGAAACAAATGCAAATGCCACAAAAGCCGTCACAAAATTACGCGATTACAACGATGAAATCTTAGGCATTTTGAAAAAATTACTACATTTTCAAATCGTAAAAGACGCCTTATTGTTCAATGTATTGAGTAAGAAGAAATTGGTTTTGGCATTGTCACCAGTTTATTTTCAACGTAAATGTGAGGTACGAATCTATGAAGACTGGTGCAAATTTCGGTTGGACACATTCATCGATTCGGACATTGTACGCTTTTTGATGAAAAGTCTGCTGGAATTAGTTCTGGGCATCGTTGAACATGAACAATTGGCTCCCATTGATTACCTAAATACTGTAGTGATAAAACATGCAAACATTCTAAAACCGATAATGACAGCCGATGACTTTGATTATTTCAATGCGACCATCATACCGACGTACTTGACCATCGCAAAGAAATTGTCCACTTGATTCGATGGTACCACTTGCAATCACTGAACTTATTTTAACAGAATTTTATGTCATTTCCTATTTATTTAATTTAAGATTTAAATACCAGTTACTTTGCTGTGTCAATGGAAACAAATTCCATTGAATATAAACAAACTTTTTGATAGGGTTTCATTGAAAATTTACAATTTCAAGAAATTCAATTGAAATTTACATCAAAATGAATGTAATATCAATTCGGAAATACCGAACAGAAACACTTTAATTTCCTAAGTATTTTGTTTACTTTAAAATCAAACATGTTGTTTGTTTTCGTTTTAACTCTTTCGACGTTTTGGTTTGATTTTCATAGAAGATTGATGTTTGCACTGACGAATTGGAGTGTCCAGTCTCAATTCGAATTTGTACCTTTGCAACGATCACACAAATGATTCACCAAAATGTGATATTAAGTTTCATTTCAAATAAATACAAGACATTTTAAACATTTTATACCGTTCACCACTATCTCTAGAATATTTCATGTACTCATCAATTCCCCCTTTTTAGCATTTAATAGTCTAAACATCGACAATATTCTAATATGAATTTTCGAGTGAATTCTGCATGCTTCCAAAAATGTCCTAAGAGGTTTGTATGTATTCCTTCTGCGGCATTTTGTAAATCTAAGGAATGGACCTCAAAAAGGTAAACTTCTTAACAACAAAGAATAAATGCATCTAGTTCTATGTACAAATGGAATTTTACTAATTGGTCGACTAAAGAATTCTGATGGTGAGAATTGTCTTTCTGTAATATAAACAAAATGTCCAATGAGTTGGTTCTATAATTTAATATGAAATTTATAAGCAATCAAGTCAAATTAAAGATAAAACTTGCACATTTCCCATCCATTGTCTGAATTGATTAAAACTTGTTATGGTGTTTCTCTCTTTGTCACAGTTTTTTAGGGGTAGACACGATTTGTGTCACACAAATTTTCACCATATGAAATTAGAGCTTCTAGTATGCTAGAATACTAGAAGTATACATGGGCACAGGGTAACCCCCCTTAAGTCGATCTACTAGAAAAATATTCGTGAAAAACTGTTCAAATCGATATGGATGACATACGTTGTAAAGAATACATTAGCATTGCTCACTTTATGAAAACAAAGGTATATACATTTATGTGAACAAAATAATTGTGCTCAATAAGAAAACATTGACAATGGATTCTATTGCATTCTGTATAGATTAGTTCGGCAATGCAATTAATTCATATATTGTGTATATTGTATTTCAAATTACCAAAAAAATTATCTTTTAAAATAGTTGCAAACCTAAACCAAGCTACTTAGTTCTTAAAAATATTGACTTATTTTTTGAACCAATAGTAGGTTCGAGGTAATTCAAGTTTTTTGTAATATTCAACTATGAATTTTGTGGCTACTTTGGTCGCTTCCAGGGTAAAAATAGACTATCTATTTTCTGTTTGCGGATAATACCTTCAACACATATGAAGAAAATTCTTGAGCCATGTCAGAGTTGAGTCTGCATCGTAATATGTATTTAATTAATGCTTTAATGTTTACGTCGTATCTTTGTCGGTGGAAAATTGATATTATTCACTATTTAGAGAGTTTAAGGAGATAGACATTTCATTTGAGATATTATCAGCGAGGTGAATCAGCGAGCTAACGTCTGGTGCTAACGGAGTGAAAACAATAGCGATTGCAGCAATGGAAGTGTTTTTACGTGTTTTTATAACCATAACAATCACTTCTTTTATTTTCGTTCCGTTTCAGCGCCTGACGTTAGCTTCCTCAGCTGAAACTGCCTGGAAATAGCTCAATATAATGTCTGTTAAGGTCCATTTTCCAAGGCGGCGATTACAATCGTGTACGATTTCAAATCGTTGGCCAAAATCGTTAACGATTGAGATCGATGGTTTTTTTGACGCCAAAATCGTGAACGATTTATTATTTGTGGTTTTTTTGACGCCCGATTTGAAAAAAAAATCGTGGACGATTGCAATCGTCGCCTTGGAAAATGCACCTTTAAATGCAAACTCTCTATTTGCCGTAAGCCAAGTGATTTCAAATATTCGATGTAATTTATCTTATAATTACGGTTACAATGTACACTCAGTGCACTACTCAAAATGCTAATCAATCAATTAAAATGTTCAGCGCAAACACAAAAAAAAGTCGAATGCTTGCGAAAACTTTCTGCATTTAAATCAATTAACGAGAAAATGAGACGTTTATATGCAATCATAGAGTGAAAACAAAAGGTGGCAATTATTGATATATCACAGATTTCACTTGCTTGTGAAACTGGAGCATTTTTCTGTGTATGTATTTGTGGATTAAATTGAATTTTCGAGAGATAAAAGCAATTTAAGATGAATTTCAAATCACTTTATTTATGTGAATTTGGATGCCGAGAATTTTCGATCTGAGATTTTACCAATCAAAACGATATTAAATTAGGAAGAAAATTTTTCGCTTGATTCACATCAAATTGGTTTATAGCAAATATGGCAATGAATGAGAACAAGTTTCCATGAGATGAGTCAATTAGAGGTTAATTTATTTAGATATAGCTGAAGGCATGTCAATGGCAATATAATGCTTAGGTGCATCATCGACAAACTCATCTCATATTATATTATTATTGTTATTTGAGTTTCATTAGGCATCAAACATCAATAAATGGTTTGAGAAAGCTCGATATCTATGCAACCCCAAATTAGATTGCCGTTGGGGATTGCCGTGGTTTTAGAGTTTTTATTTTCTTAATTCTCATATTAATATTGCATACGATTAGGAAATGCATACGATTAGAAACATGTTTTCGAAAATCGCATATATACGCGCCAATCCCAGCGTCAATCTCTTATCAGCGAAATGCACATATGAAACGGCAAGAGTAAAATTCAGACATTGTGCTATTGCCAGCAGAAACGAACAATAGCACTCTAAATAAAGAATTCAATATATGACAATGTGAAAAGACTTTTCTTCGTCAATAGCGCCACCTGATTAGAGAAGATCTACGAGAAACACAATGGCAAACCAGTGAGTGGCTGTATTTCAAACCATTGTGAAATACACTTAGTTGCTTAGTGTGTATTTGTGTATTGGTGTGAATTGCGACTAAATCACAGTAGACACATCGAACACATTTTTTAATTCTATGAATTTTCCTTCCATTTTTTCCGATTTCAAGTATGAATTTTATTCCAAGTCGTTCTCATTTTTCTTGTCTTGGCTGTCTTCAATTTTCTATCAATTGCAAACTATTGATTGAAATTGAATTTCAATTTCTAGTTAATTTTCCGTCAATTGAAACGGTTGTGTGAGTTTCCGAGACTAATATGAAAGTTTTTGGCTAAACAATCAACGCTTTTCCAAAGCAAACCCGTTATTGATGTATACTCTAATACCACAATCGATATATCGTTCAAATACATTTCCGGCTATTATAAATGCGTTTGAATTGATAAACAAAACCCTCATATTAATTTCAAAAAAAAAAAAACTATTAAAATTATCGAGTGAGCATCAATAGACGATAAACCATATTTTTCCTGGGTGTTTATTGCATACATAAAGTGCAAAAAAACTTCCTGTCAAAGTTTTATGCTGTTAATCAAATAAATAAAGTTGGAGTTTGTGCAAAAGTTTCGTTTGTATATTGTCCGACGATGATAATAATGTTGGTGTTCGAGTTGGTACTTTTTGTCTATTGATCAACTGGGCAATATTTTATGGGCAATCAATCAATCTTAATTGAGAAGTTTTTTTCTTATCAAAATGTTTCACATTCTCACTTGGACTATTATTAGCGATCAATGTCCGGACATATGATGTGGGATTAAATTTCTGTTAGCAATGACAACGTTCAAACCAATACTAATTTATGTAAGTATAGCTCCATGAAAAAAGAGGGCAAACATACGAACTGATTTTTTGTACATACATGCGAAATAGTTGGAAATTTTCTCTCTCTCACTCTCCCTCTCTTTCTTGTTTAGGTCACTTTTAATGAGTTTTGTAAACGTGATGTCAAGATGTTATATGATAAGGTGAACCATTTGTAATCAGAGTTAATTTTCGTTTTTCATATGATTTGCCATGACATTTTCAATACGTTAAGCGATGCAAAGATAATATTGCCAATTAAATGTACGGCGAATGAGACACCCATCAATAACATAAACCAATGGATCAGTTGACACAACGAACTGTATGTGTTCAAATTGAAAAGCAATGCCCATCGACACACATGTATACATGTCACGTCAAACGGCCTAAAACAATGCACAATTGGAAGGGGTTTATTCCACAGCGATAAACTGATGATTGGTACTGGCAGTCGAGAATTAATTGCTCATTTTCAATTTAACAACATCTTCGTTGAAAACTCAATGACCATTCAACAAATACGTCGATTCAATACACAGTGTATCCAATTATCGATTTTGTGTTGTCACGGAAATGTGCCTGTTGGGCCAAAACTGTAAAAAAATCGACTTGAAATATGAGAGCGATTCTTTGTTAAGGCCGAACATGAAAATCTTTTTTATGAGTATGATTTATTTTCCTTTCGATCGATATATTCAATTGGAGAATTGATAAAAAAACAATACTTCAATGCTCGTTTGTCACGGAAATGAGCTGAAAAAAGTAAATAGAATAAAATCTCTGACGATGTTCCTTTCGATTTCGTGTTCAATCACGGAAAAAAACATCAATTCGAGAGCATTTAATGGCATCGTATATGTGATACTATAATGCAAAGAAAAAAAAGAAACATCACTCTTGAGACAGCAAAATATTATGATCTAATGAAAATGGCGTGGTGGAAAAAAATTCAAATAAAGTGCTTTGAGTGCTTGTTGAATTAAAGCTACTCATGATCTATGTCACAATTTCATTGGAAGTGAATGCGATTTTGTTTATTAATGATGTGAACGTGTTTCGGATTCGTTATTCCGAATTTATGTACAGGCACACAGTGACTGAAAATTGAATAGATATTTAAGAAAGTGTGAGCGTAAGTATGTGATTGTGTGTGTGTGTCACATTGAAAGTGGCAAATGGAGAAAAGTTCTCCTTCAAAGAACAAGACGAAAAAGAACAAATGGTGATGAGCTCCTTTATGGCATCTTTCAAATGGACGTGAACCCATTAGTTATTACTAAAATGTCTCATGCTTGCAGTTTTGCAGCGGGTTTTAATTTTTCTAGTCGCCCGGTTTTTTTTTTGTTCTTCATCGTTTTCATTTAGTGAACACAAAAAAAAACCATTAAACATTTAGCACGTAAATTGAATAAATACTCTGAATAGAAAGGACAACGATTCGAAAAAAAGTGAATTTATTCAGTAATTAATAAGCTCCTTCCTCATTTATTTTTGAAGCAGAATGGAAGAGGAAAAAATAAAATTGGCATAATGATGGAGTGTGTTCGACTCAGGTTAAAATAGAAATGAAAAAAATAAAAT